GGTGCAATATATGCGTAAAAAGCATTTGCCGCTGGACAGAAAGGATGTTTCCAAAATACTTGAGAGGAAGAGGCTGGGTCTCTGGCCCTCGCTCGTTTTGCTCGTTTTTTCTACCTTTTTATTCCCAGGGCAGCCTAATCCTCTCCTTGGAAAGCAGTTTAGGGTAGGAACTCAAGAGGAAAGCCACTCTGTGCCTATTTCAGCTCAGGGCAATCCTGCCCCCCAGTGGGAGACTGGTGTACAATGTACTTTCTTTTTTTAAAAAAATGTATTTTTATTAAATTTTCCATTTTAACAACCAAATCACATTAAACATTCCGAATTATACAAATACATATCATATAGTCCAAATATTCTGCCAAATTATAAATTTTTATTGGGACCTCCCATGCTTCAAGTTCGGGGGTGCTCCATCAGGTAGCTGGCACCAACAGAAAGGAAGTTCACCCCCTGCAGCCAGATATTTATTTCTGTGCCTAAATTGGTGGTGGTGGGGGTTTTGGGGAGGGGGGCAGAATTTAGGTCACAGCCACTGGCTTTGCACCTGATCTCCAAGGGGTCATTTGCACAGGGGTCTAAGCACAGACATCTAGGTCTCATCCAGAGCCCCGCTTGTCCCATGCTTCTTAGGGCCGGGTCCAAGTAGTCCGACTGGAAGAAACAACAATCCATGGATTGTTCCGATTCAGCAGGAAACTGAAGTGTGGATGAGTCCTAAGAGAGACGTGTTGCTGTAATACGTTGTAAACGCCCCCCCTTTTTTTTCTGTGTATGTGAGGAGTCTACCAGATGCCCTGTCACAAGGTAGTGGCGGGAGGTAATCTCTAAAAAAACCTGGATACATAATACAAAACATAACAAAGATAAAACTAAAAAGTTAGAACATCAACACCAGACAAATGCATGGGACAGTCATCCCCATCTCCACCAATAATGTTTTTTTTTATTTTATTTGTAGCTATCTATCCATTTTATTTGTTCATACATTTCTATCCCATGAGCTCAAGCACAGGGTTCACTGTCCATTTTCTTTTTGCTTTTCTTTTTAATTTTTTTTATTTTATTTGCTCAACACATAACAACAACAACAACAAAAAGACGTATTACACCATAATATCATCAGTCGCGCCTTACATAAAGAATTAATATAAATTCCATAATCCATCAACTGTCATGGTCTCTTCCTTTTAAATCCAACTTCCCATCTACTCCATAAATCTAATTACCATTCTTTGCTGCCAATACATGTTATTGCTATCATCTCAAATCAGTTCAAAATGTATTCTATCATATACCTATTGCTGGTATTATTCAACTGCCGCAACGGATTAGTATTATTAATTTTCAAATATATTTTAAATGCTCCCCATTTTGAAATAAATTCTTTCCTTGGTTTGTTCTTTAATTTTTCAGATAGGCTGTCTAATTCAGCATAGTTGTCAGGGGCTCAGGAGCAGAGGCACAGGAAAGGAAGGAGATAGAGACCGAGGGGGAGGAATCCGAGGGAGATGTCAGCGATGACAGCCGTCCGAGGTCTCTGAGTCTCTCCAGCGAATCGGAGGATTCACAGAAAGGGGCTCCCGTGGTCAGAGCAAGGGGGTTGCCAAGGGGAACACCCCAGGAAGGAGGGGCCAGAGGGGACTCAGAGAGCAGCAGTTGGAAATCGGGACCAGCTTCCCCACCAAAGAGCAGTAGGGGGGAGGAGTCCCAGGTATCGGCATCAGGCAGCTCTCCGTCAGCAGAAGGACATGAGTCAGGATTGGCCACGCCTGCATCAGAGAGCGAAGAAACGGTCGAAAGGAAGGTCAAAGACAGGGCGCGCGCGCCAAGTTCAAACCTACAAGAGAGTGGCGCAGTGAGCAGCCCGGATAGGGAGCCAGGTCCTAAAGCCCGCCGAAGGGAGGGGGAAGAGTCAGAGGGGTCCGCGTCCGAAGCGTCCAGGAAGGAAGGGATCCCGGGGGGTAGTAGGACCCAGAGGCGGAAGGAGAGACGGAAGAGGTGGAGTAAGGCTAGAGTCTTAAGCTGGTGTACAGGGGGCGGAGATTCAGACGGAGCTTCGCCGGTCTAGTGTCTAGACGTAGAGACGCACGCTAGGGTTTGAAAATGGATAATGTACTTAAATAAAGACTTTTGTATATTACCGCTGGCTAGCGTTGGTCCTCTGTGAGCTGGGACCTGGAGGCAGTCTCTGACAATAGTCAATCATTTTTTGGACCCAGGTTTGTCCAAGACAAGAGTAGGTTCGCTGTCCATCTTCTATCTTCACAACAACTTGCAGGTTAGCGTGTGAGACAGCAATGGGCCTAAGGTCGCCCCAGTCAGGTTCATGGCTAGGCGGAGATCTCCCTGTCTTCGCGTGACACTGAACCAGGCTTTGCCAACCTGGAGCTGGTGGATATTGCAGTGCAAAGCCTCTGGAGGGCACCAGGTTGGCAAAGGCTGCCCTGGCCACTGCACCCCGCTCTGCACCATGTGAAACATCCTGTGTGTTTGAGTGTGCACATGTGCAGTCTTGTGCAAATGATACTGTGAGAGGTCCAGAGGATGCCACTTCCATTCAACACGCACACACAGAAGTCCCTTTTGAGTGGCTAAGCAAGGCTAACGACTTGGAAAGGTTTAAAAGAGAATTGGACAAATGGTTGGGGAGAAGGCTATTGATGGCTACTAGCCATGGTCGCTATGCACAGCGCAACCATCCCGTTCTCACAGTGGCCAGCCCAGGGTGGATTTGATTTACTGTAAATCAAATCAATTTAAATCATGATTTAAATTACTAGCCAGTAAGACTTGATTTATATCTTTTTTTTTACAGAACGACATTCCTGCTGGTATAATCTTAATAATTACAACCAGATGAAGGTTTCATTTTTGGAACAATAAATTTCCAGAATAGTTTTTACAGTTATATTAAAAAATTACTGATTTGGTTATACTATTAGAAATACATAGATAATTATGAAATTGTGGTGAGGTTTAATGAGTTAACTGTTTATATTTGGACAACTTTTCTGCTGTACTTTATTGGAAGGAGAAAAATAATCATTTCCATAATACCAATTTCCTTAAAAACCAACTTAGACTGAGTTTCAGCACACATGCAAAACTTAAAACAAATCCTTATTTCCTGATGAATAGCCTTTGGACTACAGTGGTATCTCGTGTTACATACACTTCAGGTTACATACGCTTCAGGTTACACACTCCACTAAGCCACAAATAGTGCTTCAGGTTAAGAACTTTGCTTCAGGAAGAGAACAGAAATCATGCTCCAGCGGTGCAGGAGGCCCCATAGCTAAAGTGGTGCTTCAGGTTAAGAACAGTTTCAGGTTAAGTACGGACCTCTGGAACGAATTAAGTACTTAACCCGAGGTACCACTGTATAATGTAACTCAAATAGAAAACAGAAATATTTTTTCCTCCAAAAGCATTTTATTATAAAAATCCGATTTAAATAAAATAAAAATATCTGATTTTAAATATATATATATATATATATTAAAAATCGCTGCTTTTTATCCACCCTGGGCCAGCCAGATACCTCAATGGGAAGGGAACGCAGTGGATGTAGCCTACCTTGATTTCAGCAAGGCATTTGACAAGGTGCCCCATGATATTCTTGTAAAGAAGCTGGTAAAATGCGGTCTTGACTATGCTACCACTCAGTGGATTTGTAACTGGCTGACTGACCGAAACCCAAAGGGTGCTCATCAATGGTTCCTCTTCATCCTGGAGAAGAGTGACTAGTGGGGTGCCACAGGGTTCTGTCTTGGGCCCGGTCTTATTCAACATCTTTATCAACGACTTGGATGATGGACTCAAGGGCATCCTGATCAAATTTGCAGATGACACCAAACTGGGAGGGGTGGCTAACACCCCAGAGGACAGGATCACACTTCAAAACGACCTTGACAGATTAGAGAACTGGGCCAAAACAAACAAGATGAACTTTAACAGGGAGAAATGTAAAGTATTGCACTTGGGCAAAAAAAATGAGAGGCACAAATACAAGATGGGGGACACCTGGCTTGAGAGCAGTACATGTGAAAAGGATCTAGGAGTCTTGGTTGACCACAAACACAAACTTGACATGAGCCAACAGTGTGACGCGGCAGCTAAAAAAGCCAATGCAATTCTGGGCTGCATCAATAGGAGTATAGCATCTAGATCAAGGGAAGTAATAGTGCCACTGTATTCTGCTCAGGTCAGACCTCACCTGGAGTACTGTGTCCAGTTCTGGGCACCACAGTTCAAGAAGGACACTGACAAACTGGAACGTGTCCAGAGGAGGGCAACCAAAATGGTCAAAGGCCTGGAAACGATGCCTTATGAGGAACGGCTAAGGGAGCTGGGCATGTTTAGCCTGGAGAAGAGGAGGTTAAGGGGTGATATGATAGCCATGTTCAAATATATAAAAGGATGTCATATAGAGGAGGGAGAAAGGTTGTTTTCTGCTGCTCCAGAGAAGCGGACACGGAGCAATGGATCCAAGCTACAAGAAAGAAGATTCCACCTAAACATTAGGAAGAAACTTCCTGACAGTAAGAGCTGTTCGACAGTGGAATTTGCTGCCAAGGAGTGTGGTGGAGTCTCCTTCTTTGGAGGTCTTTAAGCAGAGGCTTGACAACCATATGTCAGGAGTGCTCTGATGGTGTTTCCTGCTTGGCAGGGGGTTGGACTCAATGGCCCTTGTGGTCTACTCTATTCCAACTCTATGATTCTATGAGAGCCGCAAGCAGGGTCCCAGCACAAGAGCTCTCTGCCCCGCTTCGGTTTCCAGCAACTGCGATTCCGAAGCATTCCTGCCTCCGAGCTTGGATGCGGAGCAGAGTCATCGGACCACCGCGCTCCCGGGGCGGCAGCACCTCGCCCGGACCTTCGAGCCCGGCTGGCAGGAATCCAAGCGGCGCGGCTTTGGGCCAGGCGAGCGGCCTCCCCTGCAGAGCGCCTGCCTGCCTGCCGGGCGGCGGGCGCGCGAGGCTGCCGTGGCGCTGCGCAGGCGGGCGAGCTCCGCGGAAGCGCGGCGCGCCTTGACCCGGGAAGCAGAGCCCGGGGGCGGGGAGAGGGCCGGGCTGCCGCCGAGGCGACCTTCCTCCATGCGCGGGGCGAGGCGGCATGGCCGAGGCTCAGCAGCTCCGCGTGCAGGAGGCCATCGACGGCATGGTGCAGGGGCTGGAGCGGGAGAACATCCGGAAGATGCAGGTCGGGCTGCGCTTGGAGCGCACGTGGGGATGCAGGCGTGGGCACCAGCCTGGGCTGCAATGGAGCGCTACACGAATTCATGGAGGAGGGAGGGGGGCTATCGGGGGCTGCTAGCCATGGAGGCTGCGCTGTCTCCATGGTAGGAGGCAGCGATGTTTCTGAACCCGTTGCTGGAACCGCAGGAGGGGAGGGTGCCCTTGTGCTCGGGTCCTCCTTGACCCTTGGGGCATCGGGCTGGACTGGATAGGCCCCTTTCGGCCTGATCCAGCAGGCTCTTAAATCATCTGTGCTCAGCAAGGGGAGTGTACATGCGATGCATAATGGATACCGTGCTGATTTTAGGTCCCACCCTGTTGATCTACTTGAAAGGGTCAGAGGGCAGCGAGGCAGGGTGAGGGTGGGTGTTCAGCAATCCCCAAGCAACAGCCTTCCAACCTGATGCCCGCCAGGTGTTTTAAACTACAACTCCCATCAGCCGCCAACAAGTGTGGCTGAACCATTCCAGATGGAAGTTGTAGTCCACAAGTTCTGGAGGGCGCCAGGTTAGGACAGGCACCCCAGCAAGAATGGGCCATTATTTGCCACATTTCTGTTAGAATTCCGGCTCCATGATTGCAGTCATGGGGTTTTAGTCTATCACATGACAGTGTATGTTTTGACCCCACAAAGTGGGACATGACGGAGACAGGATGTTTGAGTTATTGTGTTCTGTGAAGTGGGACTATTGTCCTTTGTTCTTTTTCTCTTTGCTGTCTGATGCTAGAGAGAGGGGGAGCCATGTTGCAGTGCTCCGTGTGTGTTTATATGTAAATAAAGTAGATTAGCCAAAATGCTGAGTTGCTGAGGTCTGTTACGCAAGCTGCGAAGACTCTGCGGATCCCTAAGTGTGCCGGTGTCTGTTGGCATCGGTTGTTGTAATGTTCGGGCTGAAGAAAGCTTATGAAGCTCCCAAACGATCAGCCAGGAGGGAAGGAACATGCCAGTCGGGCATGTGCTCTGCCAGAGTCCTACTCGAGTGTAGGACGAGGTCCTGACAATTTCAACCCTGCCCTTCCTCCAGAGTAGTTGTGGTGGCTCTTCTGAGGTTATCTTACTGACACCCGGCTCTTTCCAGGGAATCATGTTCCGGTGCAGCGCGACCTGCTGTGAGAACAACAAGGCCTCCATGCAGCAAGTGCACCAGTGCATTGAGCGCTGCCATGCGCCCCTGGCTCAGGCGCAGGCAGTGGTCACTCAAGAGCTGGAGAGATTTCAGGTGAGGAAAAAAGTGGGGATGGGTGTAGGTGGGAGACTAGCTGGTCAGTGGGAAGTTGGACTTTGGTCTCAATCTGCCAGACCCTCCAGGGCTGCGCTCTTATCTTTCGAGAGGGCAATGGTCTGGATTGCTCAACCATCTTAAACAAATGCACGTCTTGGGTCACATTTGCAGCATACATTTGCAGCAGTATTGTACCAGTTCAAACAGTCACGGCTTCCCCCGAAGGATTCTGGGATCTGTAGTTTGTTTAAAGTGCTGAGTTGTTAGGATAGGCATAGGCAAACTCGGCCCTCCAGTTGTTTTGGGACTACAGTGGTACCTCGGGTTAAGTATTTAATTCGTTCCGGAGGTCCGTTCTTAACCTGAAACTGTTCTTAACCTGAAGCACCACTTTAGCTCATGGGGCCTCCTGCTGCTGCGCCGCCACCGGAGGACAATTTCTGTTCTCATCCGGAAGCAAAGTTCTTAACCCGAGGTACTATTTCTGGGTTAGCGGAGTCTGTAACCTGAAGCGTCTGTAACCTGAAGCGTATGTAACCTGAGGTACAACTCCCATGATCCCTAGCTAACAGGACCAGTGGTCAGGGATGATGGGAATTGTAGTCCCAAAACATCTGGAGGGCCGAGTTTGGCATGTCCAAAGTCTGTTTTGGAGGCCTAATCCAGCCTGCTGGTTGGTTTAATCTGGCCCCTGTGGCAGCTTATTTCCTGGGGTAAAATCCTAAAAAGAAACCTCAATCCTAAAAAAAGCTCAATGACTTTGGGGTAAAATCAGAAAACAACTTCAGCCCTTAAAAAAACCCAACAACAACAGAAAACGGTTAATAACTCTGGTCGGCCCTCACAGCCCTTCACTTCATCAAATCTGGCCCTCTGAAAAAAGTTTGGACACCACTGGATGCCTGTGTTGGGAGAGTCCCTATTCCCCTAGGAGAGCTACAGTTCCCAGAGTTCCCTGAGAAGTGGTCCACCCTGAGAACTGTAGCACTGGGAGGGGGCTAGGATTGTCCCGACAACTCTCAACACCTTTGACAAACTACAGCACCCAGAATTCGGGGGGGGGGGGAGGCAGGACTGTTTAAAGTGGTGGATGTAGCCTTGATTTATTCCTGCGTTGCAGGGGGTTGAACTAGATTACCTTTGGAGATACCTTCCAATTCTACAAATCTATTATTATTATTATTACTATTATTATTATTATTGCAAATCCAAGAATATCAGTACAGTGGTACCTCGGGTTACATACGCTTCAGGTTACAGACTCTGCTAACCCAGAAATAGTGTTTCAGGTTAAGAACTTTGCTTTAGGATGAGAACAGAAATTGTGCTCCGGCAGCAGCGGGAGGCCCCATTAGCTAAAGTGGTGCTTCAGGTTAAGAACAGTTTCAGGTTAAGAACAGACCTCCAGAACAAATTAAGTACTTAACCCGAGGTACCACTGTAGTATTATTATTATTATTATTATTATTATTATTATTATTATTATTATTATTGAAACCATCATTTAAAAGCTCTTTAAGAGTCCTGTTTGAATGGCAGCTTCTAAGTTCTTTTGGTCCACTGATGAAGGCTGTTAATGCAACTTATTCTTAGCCTTGCCCACCTCTGACTTCCATGTTTGTTTGTTTTTTGCTACTTATAGGACCGCCTTGCCCGCTGCACGATGCATTGTAATGACCAAGCTAAGGACTCCTTAGATTCAGGGAGCAAAGAGAAGCAGATCAAACTGCAGCTGGACAACTGCGTGACAAAGTGTGTGGACGACCACATGCACCTCATCCCCAGCATGACCAAAAAGATGAAGGAGAACTTGGCCAGCATTGCCCAGTAAACGCCCTGGCTTTGCGGAGGAACGGGAAAGGGAGATAATCAATTAAAATTAAGATGGGCATGATTACCCTTTCTGGAAACATAGAAAGAAAACATGAGGTGTGTCCAGAGTGACTTTTCTATGGTGTGACTGTATACTCGTTGCCTCCTGAAGGGCTTGAGAATTTAGGGTTTGGTTTGGGAGAAAGGCTGCAGATTGTCAGATGGTGTAAAAGAAAACAACAACATGCTCCTTTGGCATCAATGATATGTGTGTGCACAGACCGGTGTCAAACCCTTTTGTTGTGGTTCTTCCCCACCTTGTAGCAAAGTTGAGTCTGGGGAGGGGAATCCGGAAGGTGCTACAAAGGTAGCTCCGAAATCTGCTACCTGGTGTCTCAACTGGCTGTGCACCTCTTTCTTAAGGTGCCTTACAAATATAGACACACAGAAGTTCTGTCTCTGTGGTCTCTTCGGAAGGAGATGGTTTGATATTACTTTTTTTGAAATAGCAGTGCTGAAACCAAACTGCCCCCAAATAGGAATTCCCCAAAGCTGAGGGGCTCCTTATGCCTTCAGCAGAATCTAGTATTAATCCTTCTTCTGGACATTACCACTTCAGACTGCTTGCTCAAAGGCTTCCAGTGTGGAAGAAGAGCAAATTGGAACCATGCATATGGGAAGGTTGGGAGAAGGTTAGGCTCAGTTTTTCTCACTGAAATGCTAGTTTTCAGTGTGCAGGGGAGGTTCTACTGACCCAGTAAGGAAGGGGGCATTTATGACACCTCCCCACCATGCAAAATGCAGCCTGTAAAGCAAACCACTTGGATTTTGCTGATTAAATCAGAAATGTGGCTTTCAATGGATTTTTAAACACCTCTGTGTTTTGTTTTTGTTTTGTTGGGCATTGGAATGACACAGCAACGTTTGTTTTTTTGTTTGTTTGTTTTTGGGCACTCCCGCTCTGAAAGTCAGCCCCAAACTAAACACTTATAAAACTTGATTCTTAAATTAAAACCTTGTATTGTTTCTCAGTTTCATTTGAAGTCTAGGCATGAATGCTTGAGCCATTTCCCAAGTTCATTTCAGCCGGGGGGGGGGGGGAATCCTTCGTTGGCCACAAAGCACCCACAGTCCTTCAATTCCCTCCTCTCCTTCCCTGCTCAAAGACCTTCAGCAATTGTGAGGAACATTTTCCCAGTGGAACCTACTGTGGGATCCCAACCCAAGCAAAATAATTATTCCATCCTTTTTTTCATTGGAAGCTTTTGACCTGTGTGCTGTAGAAGCAGAGAATGTATTGTGGTAAGGCAGGGGCAGCTACCGTGGTACCCTTTGGATGTTGTTGGACTACAGTTCCCATTAGCCCCAGCCGAAAGGGTGATGGGAGTTGTAGTCCAAAACATCTGAAAGGCAGGCTGCCCCTGTACACTCCTGTGAGATGTTACAATAAGGCATCTAGCAGACAAAGTTGTCCCTGGGAGGAAGTTCTCAAGGCTGCTTTTCCTATCTTGTAATATTTAAAATAACTTCAGATATATGACTTTAAAGGTATATCATGGTAAAGAGGAGGTAAGGTTAGGGGCCAACAGCTTTTTGTGTCTTCCTCTAAGGGACTCAGGGAACTAGATGGCTGGAGTGCTGTAAAATTTGGATGGAGAAGCTTTGTTTATGGAACAGCCTTTGAAGACGCAAGTGTCACATTCAGGTTTATGCATAACAATTCTACTAAAAGATGTCAGTGGGACAAGTACAATGTGACATATAAAAGCCCCACCTGGCTCCTCAGCAAGTGAAACAATAATTCCTACCCTTGCATTGAAAACATACTTTTTTGTTTAATGCATTATATATGTGATTAAATTTATGTGTGCTGATCAACACATTGCTGCTGTGTTGAAACGGTTTCTCCTCAATTGCGTCTGAATTCTGTAACAATTTTAATTAGGGTTTGGATTCCCTGCTGCAGAGCCAACTAGCACTACATCCTTCCAATCCAATAGTAATGTTTTCCCCTTTGGATGTAGGAGGTAGAGCTGTGAGTGCTTGGGTTAGGCCCAACAACCAGAAAAATGCTGACCAGCAAACAGCATTTATTGTGAATGTGGGTGTGCTCATTCCAACGACAGACCCTTTGGGGCTACAGGAATACTGTTCCAAGAATTAACAAAGCCCCAGCCCCCTATTTCTGCCTTCCTTTATTTAAACTGTGAATTATTTTCTTAAAGTTGAATTAAAAATGGTTTTTAAAAATGAAAACTGTGTATTGTAGGTATTTTAGCTGTGTTGAAAAAGTGGTATGGGTACTGGGGAGGTGGATGCATGGGAGATAAACTATGGTCATATCCACAACATACATTTAAAGAACACAATTCCCCACAAAGAGGCCTGGGACCGGGAACTGGTTTACTTTGGGGAAAGCCATATGCTTTTAGATGTATGGTGTGAATGTAGCCTATGATTGCATTTAGGGGAATTATTATTATATTTATTACCCCTCACCAGCGGATCTCAGGACAGGCTATAATAATTTAGAATCTAGAATTAATAACAGTTAAAACAGTTTACAATCACAGGAATAGGGACAGCATTTTAAGCATGGTAATTACTCCAGGCAGCAGCAGTAAAAGGATGCGATAATAGAAACTGCTTCCGTGTAAGTACATTTGCTTCTAAGTGTAACTTCCACCGCATGCAGCCAGAGATCCTGTGTGCTTTTTCTATAAAGTACTAATGATGTCAATATGACTTGCTTTCAGAATAAGCATACTCCGTGCTTTTTTCCTAAAAAAATATTTAGGGGTACTCAAGAAAATTTATGGTTCAAATCAGGAAAAATAAATACAGTAAATGGACAAAAGTACAAAGATTCACAAAATGTTTCTGCGTACCCCCAGAAAAAAGCACTGAGTATACCCAAGATTGTAGGCAGACTTGCTTCTTTGCCTGTCTACTCAGAAGTAAAACCCACTGCACAAATGAGTTTTACTCTCAGGTAAACGTGTGGCTTAATTTCCCAAGCGCATAATGGAGTCCTTATTTGTCCACTAGCTGGTATGCAATAGGAAGTCTGAAATAAAATACTTAAATCCTTTACCTATATTAGCATATATGCAAATAAACCCTAAAAGCAAATGAAGCATGGCCTGTTGCTTTACACGTGGAGGAAACGAGTTGATAGGACCCACCCCCAAAGGAAGCAGCTCGGTCGCTGATTGGTTGGCGGCGGAAATCCGAGGGCAGACCGCGGCCGTCTACTCTGCGCTGATTGGTTGCGAGGACGAGGTAGTCCACGCCCTGCAGGCGTCCCTTGCGTTGAGCTAGTCGTCCGCGCCGGCGCACAAGGCTCCTCCTGATTGGGGAAGAGCGGAAGCGGCGCCGTGACGTCATACGCCGGAACCGTGCTAAGGCGGGAGGAAGACGCTCGTCGCCGGAGCTGCCTGTGAGGAGACACGATGAGCAAAGCACACCCGCCGGAGCTGAAGAAGTGAGCGCGGGAGCGCGGCAGGGGCGGCGGGGGCCGGGGAGCCCGATGGGAAGGAGGCGAGGAAGAGCGGGGGGCGGCCGCCGTTAGTTGGCGAGCGAGCGCTTGGGCCTCCTCGCTCCCATCATGCACCGCACGTCGCGCGTGTGTGTCATAGAGCTACGAAAATGTAGAGCAGCACATGGCTCGAGACCGCCGTCGTTTTCCTCCTTAGGGCGAATTGATCATAGAGCTAGAGAGGCCGTATATCTGTTTTTCTTTCTTTCTAAAGACATATAACTCACCCTTTCCCTGTGTTAAGATGAATTTGACTGCAGTGATGCTGAATTATTCACTCTTATTTAATTTTCAGATTTATGGACAAGAAGCTGTCATGTAAGTTGAATGGCTTTTTTTGTTTGCTGCATTTTGGGAGGAAAACTTTACTGGGACTTTGTCTCTTGTCATCTTAACTTGTGCTGAATGGCAACCTCCTCTCACTTCCCCCATTCTTTGCTTCTGTAGCAGTGCAGTCATACCTTGGGTTGCGAATGCTGTGGGTTGCGCGTTTTCGGGTTGCGGACCTCGCCGAACCCGGACGTACTGGAATGGGTTACTTCCGGGTTTCGGCGCATGCTCAGAAGCACCAAATCACGTCATGCGTGTGTGCAGACGTGGCGCTGCGGGTTGCGAACGCTGCAAGTTGCGAATGTGCCTCCCGCACGGATCACATTCGCAACCCAAGGTATGACTGTATCCTATATGTCTAGTCAGGAAAGTAGCCTAGATTCCCTGTGATGCACAGCCAGCTGCCAAACAATGTATGAAAGTGAGCAGTACATCTTTCCCCTGGTTTGAACTGGGGAACAGTTGTGAGCAAGAAAGGATAAAGATAGACTACCTACATATCTGTCCATTTTAATTCCATAAATGTTGCCTTGGACATATCAAACACAGAATCAAGATAAAGTACCAAGAGGAAGTAAACTAACCTGACCGTTCCTTACAGTGAAATTAAATGGTGGCCGGCATGTCCAAGGAATCTTAAGAGGATTCGATCCATTTATGAATCTTGTAATAGATGAGTGTGTGGAAATGGCACCAGGAGGACAACAGAACAACATAGGGATGGTGGTAAGTAGAAATTAATTAACCTTTTAAAAGTAGTTGAAACTGAAAAAGGCAGCTAAGCTAATGTCATCCATTGTACTTGAGAATTTACCAAAAGCATTTTCTAGAAAAATATCTTTGAGTTATTTTTTTTAAACAAATATATGCGGAGTTCATCTGTGTGGTTTTGCACTTTTGCCTGGTACTATAGCAAACTATAATCCAAAATCTTGCAGTACTTTTTTATTTTGTTTTATTGATTTTCAAAGCTTACAAAAGCTACTATAATAAAAAGAACAAGAATTAAACTAAAGAGGTAGACAAAATAAACCTCATATGTCCCCCACCCCACCCACTTTCACAGAACACTTCTGAAGAATACCAGGATACTGCTCCAAAGGCGTGCGTTTGCACTGAAGGCAGGCATATTCTTTTGTAAATGACACTTGTTCACAATAGAGTATAATAATAATAATAATAATAATTTATTATTTGTACCCCGCCCATCTGGCTGGGTTTCCCCAGCCACTCTGGGCGGCTTCCAACAAAGATAAAAAATACACTAAAATGTCACATATTAAAAACTTCCCTGAACAGGGCTGCCTTCAGATGTCTTCTGAATGTCAGGTAGTTGTTTATCGCTTTGACATCAGATGGGAGGGCGTTCCACAGGACGGGCGCCACTACCGAGAAGGCCCTCTGCCTGGTTCCCTGTAACTTGACCTCTCGTAGTGAGGGAACCGCCAGAAGGCCCTCGGAGCTGGACCTCAGTGTCCGGGCAGAACGATGGGGGTGGAGACGCTCCTTCAGATATACTGGACCAAGGCCGTTTAGGGCTTTAAAGGTCAGCACCAACACTTTGAATTGTGCTCGGAAACTTACTGGGAGCCAATGTAGGTCTTTCAAGACCGGTGTTATATGGTCTCGGCGGCCGCACCCAGTCACCAGTCTAGCTGCCGCATTCTGGATTAGTTGTAGTTTCCGGGTCACCTTCAAAGGTAGCCCCACGTAGAGCACATTGCAGTAGTCCAAGCGGGAGATAACCAGAGCATGTACCACTCTGGCGAGACAGTCCGCAGGCAGATAGGGTCTCAGCCTACGTACCAGATGGAGCTGGTAAACAGCTGCCCTGGATACGGATTTGACCTGTGCCTCCATGGACAGCTGTGAGTCCAAAATGACTCCCAGGCTGCGCACCTGGTCCTTCAGGGGCACAGTTACCCCATTCAGGACCAGGGAATCCTCCACACCTGCCCGCCTCCTGTCCCCCAAAACAGTACTTCTGTCTTGTCGGGATTCAACCTCAATCTGTTAGCCGCCATCCATCCTCCAACCGCCTCCAGGCACTCACACAGGACCTTCACCGCCTTCACTGGTTCTGATTTAAAAGAGAGGTAGAGCTGGGTATCATCCGCATACTGATGAACACCCAGCCCAAACCTCCTGATGATCTCTCCCAGTGGCTGCATGTAAATGTTGAAAAGCATGGGGGAGAGGACAGAGCCCTGAGGCACCCCACAAGTGAGGGCCCAGGGGTCTGAACACTCATCCCCCACCATACCAAAGCTCTACTCATACTTGGCAAAAAGTGGTACAGTGGCTTTGGAACTCATACATCAAAGTAAGAATTTTAGGATCTGTTTGAAAGGCTTCTTCTAGATGACTCTTCAAACTGCATTTCTTCATGAAAATATCTTTTTAGCCCCAAGGATTCTACAGCACTTTTGGATCTTTGGCAACATCCTTTTCTTAAAATGAGGTCACCCAGAGCAGTCAGTGTGTGTACCATGTTCCTGGGACAGCTGGTACCTTGACAAGGTGTATGGTTTGTGTCTAGACTCCTTCAGAACTGCCTCTTTCCACATGAACTTGTCAGATCTTAGATATGCCCTTTTCGGCTTTCTCTCTTCCCATTAGTTAACTGGGTAGGAACACATGAGATAAACTTTGGTGGTTGCGCTGCAGTTTCAGAACTTTCTCCCTAAGGAAGCTCATCTGGCACACAGTTTGTCATTTCAGTACAAGGTGATGACTTGCCTTTTATTTTTGGTATTTTAAGTTAGAAGATTAAGGTGCTTTGGGTGATGTTCACTGTTAGTCATAATCATAAATAGACTAATTATAATGAATTGACTTGTCAGTGGGTTAACTCCCAAGTATGACTATTATTTGTTATTGCCCTTTAAAAGGCTTTGAGCAAATAATGTAGGAATAATAATAACAAAGCTTAAGCACTGAAGTGTGGTGACTTTCTGCAGCTGTCTTTCGTGATGTGGGAAACAGGTCCCTTTTGTGAGTCTATAATATTCTTCCTTAAGCCACTTGGCAGTATTTGGTTGGTGTTTAACTTTCAGTGTTTTTATTTCTAGGTAATACGTGGAAACAGCATCATTATGCTAGAAGCTTTGGAACGAGTATAAACAAACCAGTGGAACAAGCTACAATGTGGACATTTGTTTTTGTATTGTAGATTTTACAGGCATGACACTCTCTTTGTGATTTTCTTTTTAATAAATTGTTAAAATTGGATCAACTTACTCTACTTTTTTGAAAGTAAATTCAGGGTGGCTTGAAGTCTACATGGTTGACTTCTCAGTGCATTAATAGGGTAAAACTGAGGGCTTCTTCTGTTTTCTTCCATGTAATTATTTCATATGATAAACAGAACGAATTGTTCTAGCATGTAGCAGTAAACTAAACTTTTGGCAGTAAGGCTCATCAATTAAGGCACCTTACCCTTTTGAAGAGACTGTACTAGAGCACATTGGGATAACGAAGATGAACTCATTACATACTTCCTTTTGCTGAGAGACTAAAAGAAATTGCCAGATTTCATTGAGAATTTCTGAATACTAGCAAAAGGTCAGTGCACATAATTTTATAGAATGGTATTCAGTGCTAGCTTTGTGCTCTTTTACCAGGCATGTTGTGACATTATTGTGCCTGATGTGCAAATAGTGGGCAGCATAAGCAGACTGAAATACATAGAATCAGATAAACTGCATCTATGCCGTAGGTGCATTTAAGATAATCAGTTTCCTACTACGTACTTTTAGTGGATTTAGACTGTGCTTAAAGCAGTCTTGCGCCTCATGGGAAAAGGCTGTCAACTGGATCAACTGTAAGTAGCCTCCCTTAGTAAGCAACTAAATACACACAATCCCCTCTCTTGGGCTACATTTGTATTTTATATCAGATGCAGCTAAACATCAGAAATCTTACTTTGTCTAGCAATAATATGGCTTGAGTTATCCATTATCACAGTGTATAAGATTGGGACTTCTGAAAGGGAGATACATATTTGGACAGTATGACAATACACAATTCGTGGGCATCAGTATACTGATGGGAAAAATCGTAACAATTTCATTTAATGTCACCCCTCCTTTTCTTTCAGCTACTTGCTGTCAGTTGCTAATCCACCCCAGCCCAGCACCTGATGGCTCTTGCATGTTGCTAACAAAGTAAAATCCTGAATTAAGCTGCATGGCTCAAAAACAGCTATTCTTTCACTCCACTGTGCCTTGTTGCTATCTTTTCCTGTAAATATAGTAAAAGAGTTTTCAGTAGGTGATGCACCACAGCTTGCTAAATCCTCAGATCCACTCTCTTCTCCTCTTCCCCCACCCCACCAAATACAGTATACCAACCTAGATTTCCTCCCCAGCCGTGTGTATTCTACCTCAGAGTTCTGTTTTGAGTCTCTCGTGCAAATCTTCTTGATCAATCATGTCTGCCTTATCATACCAGCGATGGTAGGCTAAAAGAGCAGCATTCTTGGCTGCGATCGCACTCATTTCCATGGCACTTGCAGCCCATTCGATGCTGTTGAGGTAGTACATTCTGTCATGGAGAATGATAGGGGGGCATTTCTCTGGGGGGCTGTAGTGCGGGTAGGCAAGCCACGTCTTCACTTCAACAGAATCGTAAGACGAGAAAAGCAAATTCAGTTGTTCCTTGGTGAGAGGCTTGGGTGAGAACACTTTCCAAACAGCAGGGCTCAGAAGCGGCTTAGTTTTATCTTCAACTGGAGAGACCATACCAATACAATTGATAAACAACTTTGGGTGCTCCATTGTGAAAATGGCAGTTAAAGAGAACTTTGAAGGATCCTGGTAGCCAAAGTAGGAAGTGTTAATGCGCCCATGGACAAACGTTGCCACAGTCTGATGGTAGGGCTGGGAGAACTCCGGAATGGGTGGCTTGAAGTTGCGGAAAGTTATGTTGGCAATTTTACGCTGCAACGGGGTGGCAATCAGAATGATGTCGTACAGCTCTGACATTAATCCTGACGTAGAATTGTAGGTGACTTCATACAGCTTCGCAGTATCTCCTGGGAGACAAAGAAAGTACTTTTTTAAAAGCAACACTTTATTTATTTAAAACATAATCAAGAGTAATCCGCCTGATGTAGCACTAGGCCAGTTTTCCAGCAAATTTCATGTGGCTTTGAAGAGGAAAAAAGTTGTAGTTGCAAATACAAGTAGTCTGTCTGGCTTTTATTATCGACATCTATGCCCCTTCCTTTCATCTACCCAGCCAGTTCTGACTTCCCCTGTCCAAACCAATATTTCTCAACCAGCAGATTCTAATGCAATTATTTTTTTCTACTGCATCACAAGTGTAAGAATGTTGTAGCAAGCTCACCTAAGCGTCCCCTTTTCAGCGTTTTCTCTTCCAGAGCAATAACAGTGCCAGAAATCAGTTGTGCTTTAGAAGCATAAAGAAGGCCAGTGCATACCAGTTTGTTGCCACCTTCTACTGACCAAAGTCCAGACTCGGCGCCTGCCAAAGATACGGCACCTACCAGGGAGGCAATAATAAAATTTCACACAAACCTGCAGAACTCTACAACTAACAGTGAAGAAAAAAGCATTTGAAGATTGTATATCTAATGTTAGAATATTTCTTTTTATTATTTCTTTATCACCAGAGGATTCCTGGGGCGGTGATGTACAAAAGTGTGAATAAAACTTTACACAGCGTATATAGTACACACACACACACACACACACACACACACACACACAAATAGGTAACCTACAATAAGCCATAATTTAAGGCAGACAAAAAACAAAATAAGGAGTACGGGCAATCCGTCCTGTTTTGCTGCCTGAGGCAACATAGGAAGGTGCCACCACTACCAAAGCCTCGCTTGCTGAGGTTGCACAGGGGCTTCCAGTGAAGTCTCATCAAAAGACGCTGCTGCTGCTCCTTGCTTCCCTGGCAGGGGCGGGCAGGATACCTTCAGGGGTTTTGCTGCCCAAGGGATTGCCACCCAAGGTGGCTGCCTCAGCCCACCTCAGGGGCACGCAGGCCCTGTATGGATGAAGCAGGCCCAATCAGAGAGTGTAACTCACAGAGCAGCCTTCCTGGGTCTCATGCCCTCTGGAATGAAATCTCCATCACCCCTGACCATGGTCCAGGCTGTCTGGGGTGGATGGGAGTTGCAGTCCAGCAACATCTGGAAGGCACCAGGCTCGTGAAGGCCAGCTTAAAGAATGTCAGTCATATCCCATGTATGGGAGAGCAGAAGAAAGACAGGATTGTAGAAAGGTGTGTATTTACCTAAAACTAGAATGACTAACAAGGCTTTGTGTCTTATCAGGCCTCTGATCCTACTCACAGGACTTCTGCTGAATTCTCTGTCATTTGTGCTTTTGACACCAAGACGCCACAGCAGGGAGGCTGGCTGGCAAGCAAAACCTCTGCTCACATAGGCCCCAGTTGCCATGCAAATCACCTCATGTACTTTGGGCATGTTTGCAGCAGGTCTGTTCTTGACTCGGATAGTGAGACAGACAGATGCCGTATTTTTCTGTGTATAACACGCTCCTGTGTATAACACGATCCCAATTTTGGGGGAATCCAAATAAAGAAATCGCCCATATGCACTATCCGTGTATAAGACAACCCCCAATTTTAAACTTGGAAAAAATAGGGGGGAAATATAGTTTTATACACAGAAAAATACAGTACTAGAAAGCAAATTTTGTCAGCGAGATCATCATTCAAATATCCCCTTCATGCAGATTATTCCAGGCAGCAAAATGCCATTCATTTGGTGGTGGCCATCATGAAGAGGAATTTGGGTATTTTTTATTAAAAATTACAGAAGTGTCCCCGTGAGAATTTGGCCCTCCAGCATCTTTCAGTGAAATATCTAAAGGCTGTGCTTTACAGACATATTGAGTTATTGTAATCTATCCCTGAATATAAGAAGAACCTGTGGATCAGGCCACAAGCCCATCTAGCCCAGCATCTTGTTCTCAAAGTGGCCAACCAAATGCCTGTGAGAAACCCACAAGCAGGGCTGAGTACAAGAGCCCTCTCCCCTCCTATGGCCTCTAGCAGGAGCCATTGGTAACCCTCTCCTCCAGGTAAAGGTAAAGGGACCCCTGACCATTAGGTCCAGTCGTGGCCGACTCTGGGGTTGCAGCGCTCATCTCGCTTTATTGGCTGAGGGAGCCGGCTTTCAGCTTCCGGGTCATGTGGCCAGCATGACTAAGCCGCTTCTGGCAACCCAGAGCAGTGCACGGAAACACCGTTTACCTTCCCGCCAGAGCGGTACCTATTTACCTACTTGCACTTTGACATGCTTTCGAACTGCTAGGTGAGCAGGAGCAGGGACCGAGCAATGGGAGCTCACCCCGTCGTGGGGATTCGAACCGCTGACCTTCAGATCGGCAAGCCCTAGGCTCTGTGGTTTAACCCACAGTGCCATCCGCATCCCATTCTCCTCCAGGAATTTGTCTAATTCTCTTTTAAAGCCATCCAAGATGGTGGCTATCCCTGTGGGAGCGAGTTCCACAGTTTAACCATGAGCTTCATTGGGTGTCCACAAGGTCTAGCATCATCATCATCATAAAAAATTATTTATACCCCGCCCTTCCCAGTTCAGAAAACTGGGCTCAGGGCAGCTAACAACAAATTTAAAACACTTAATTGATGCTACAAAAAACTGGTATGGTATAAAACATGAATACAGTGGTACCCCGCAAGACGAACGCCTCGCAAGACGGAAAACCCGCTAGACGAAAGGGTTTTCCGTTTGCGAGTTGCTTCGCAAGACGATTTTCCCTATGGGCTTGCTTCGCAAGACGAAAGCCCATAGGGAAATCTCCGGGACAGCGGGGAAGCGCAGTGTGTCTTCCCCACTGTCCTCGGACCTCCTCCCGCCGCCCGCCATCGGAACGAAGCTCCGATGCCGGGCGGGGGGGCGGGAACGCGTTCTCCCGCCGCCCGCCATCAGAACAAAGCTCCGATGCCGGGCGGGGGGGCGGGAACGCGTTCTCCCGCCGCCCGCCATCAGAACGAAGCTCCGATGCCGGGCGGGGGGGCGGGAATGCGTTCTCCCGCCGCCCGCCATCGGAACGAAGCTCCGATGCCGGGCGGGGGGGCGGGGACACCTCCTCCCGCCGCCCGCCATCAGAACGAAGCTCCGATGCCGGGCGGGGGGGGGGGGCGGGGACACCTCCTCCCGCCGCCCGCCATCGGAACAAAGCTCCGATGCCGGGCGGGGGGGGGGC